TAAACAACATTGTCACTTAATTTAATCACATTTATAAAAACCACTAATTGACTTTTGAACGTTAATGCTCGAGCACCATTGAAAATGCCAGCAAACATACAGACACACACACACACACACACACACACACACACAGTTAAGCGCACACATACATACATATAGAGTGGTCCGGATCCATAAAAGGCAGGACAACAAAATTTTGCCATAATTGGTATTTTTGATATGCATAAAATTTTGCCGGGTCATAAGCTTGCATTGCACATACACTCTCACCGACACACACATGCACACAGACACAAGTGCATATACATATACGCATGCATGTTTATGTGCAGCTAATTAAATTATTATTTTCCACAAATTTGCGGCCATGGTAGAAATAACTAAAGATACGAGGCACAAAATGTGCCCAAAAATTTGCTTATTTATCTACGAGCATTGCATAATTTCTGTCAGTTTTGGAAATTTCAGGTACAATTTGTCATACAATATGATACGTATTACGTAATTTACACGCATATATAGAAGTGTAACTATTAAGCTATTTGCTCTACTGCTGCCGTATATTCCATCAATTAGCTTTAAATTTGCGGTAAATATCGTTGACATTTACTCTTAGAGAGAAGGCATTAACATATATTTAACATTATGCAAATCCCATTAGGGCAGCCCGAAAATTAAACATTGCGTTTATTTGGCTTTGTTTAGTTTGTTCTCAAAATTTATTGTGTGAGTTACAATGGAATTTGCTAAACTCATCTATAATATTTTGTGATCTATTTTGCTGAATTCAAATTGATATAATGAGCGATTCCTTTAATAATATTTCAATTTATCATCTAGGCATAATTTTACACTAATACTAATGTTTTTATACAAACAGCTTGTTTCTATTACTATAGGCTTCCCAGGCGGGTGATTGGAGCATAAGCGGGTGTTTCTCTACTAGATGATTATATTCGTTGAATATATTCATCAATTATCAATTATTATAATATACATAATTCACTCTCACACTGCTGAAATAGATTGCAGTTTTGGTTCATGTAAAAAAAAAAAAAAAAAAAAAAAAAAAAAAAAAA